TCTTGCATTACTGAAGAAGACTATATGTTTCATGTCTTCGAATTAATTTACGTGTAATGATTATGTCAAAGTTATATAAGAATTACCAACCAAAACAAAAACAACATTGGGCCATTCCCAGTACAAGATGTACAATGGCCACGATTCATCAATTTTCAAAACGCATTTTTCTAACAACAATATTCAAAGAATTATCAGGAAACAAGTAATACTGGTACTGTGTAAGGCAATTTCTTCATATACATCAGTAAACCTCAAACGGAAACACGTAGACTACCTTGACCGAAGCGACTGGATTCGATAAATTGCGCAAGTTGCTTCCCTTTGACTCAATAAGAGGCTCAACATGGGGGAATCATTTCCTTAAAAAGTTATTTTTTCTTTTGTCTCTCTTCCATTTCTTACAGTATATCAGTTTATTTTCTTAAATTTTGCAAGTTTATAAAATATACCGAACATGGATTATCTATGATTTTAGTTTTCGTTTACTTGGCTGGCGAAACTGTTCAAAGAGAGGCGGCCATTTCATACCTATATATATTGTGTGTATCATCTTGACCTTGTAGGGAGAGGGCTAAAATGGGATTTGCCTGCTGCCCAATCCCATTCACTTTGCTTGAATAAAATTTTGTATAAATTTAAAAAACAAGATGGGCCCCGTTTGTGAAAAATATTCTTATACGTCATTAATATTTAAAAGAATTGTAAACAATAAAAAATTACTTTTAAGTCGAATGTTAAAAAATAGCTTTGTGAAATGTGTTCCTAGATATTCACCTTAATATTAAGTATTTTGAGCCCGTTAATAACAAACTATACAGCTAAAAAAAATCCTGAAATGAGCAGGATTTTACGTGTTCGTGATTCGACAATCGTGAATAACAGGTATATAAATGGTTTCGCTTTGTACAAGGACTTTCAATTATAACATCAAAAAGTTCTCTACATTATAAAATTCTGATACAATTCCCACAGCTGATACATGTAACTTATAAATCTCAATTTTTTTTTTTTTTTTTTTTTTTTTTTTTTTTTTTTTTTTTATAAAAAATCAGAAAACACATGCTATTAGTTATGAAATGTCTATTTTACGTAATATTGTGTCGGACTGGGTTAGGAATGGGATAGCAGAATGTTGCCTATGCGTTCCATTATTTTTTCTCTAGAGAGGAGAATCAATGGTTTTTTTTTCCATTTTTTTTGGGGGGGGGGGGGCTTCTAAAGTCAGCACATATACATGTATAAGGCTTCCTTGCTGGCTAATTATGATATACATGTAATTCATTTTAGAATCCTACGCACCCTAGCTGAATCCGACTATCTAATTCATAGCATTAATTATCCTTTTTAACTGGTTTAACAGTATTTCCTAATAAAATGATTATTAAGAAATTCTCAATAGAGTCTACGTAATCAATTGTTTTTTAAACATTCAGTTCGTTTGCAGCAATTGAATTATAAAAGAAAGAAAATGTACCACATGGTTTTATATTGTAATTCAACATAGCCTGTGATTTTGTTTTTCTTTTCCTCAATATATTTCTAATACTCCGGTTAACAAAGAAATTATAATTTTTGCGTTTCTCAAGTTCATATTAATCTCTTCATTTTTTTCTGTTGATCTAAGATATTTTGTAAACTTTATGTAAATTCTCTTTTTTCAAATGCATTGTTATCACCCGGTCATGAGAATGAGATCACCCTTGGGTATCCGATGATGTTAAATATATGCTATAAAAAAACATCCGACTTCCGCCTAAAACGTCAGAATGAAGAGATTCTTTAAAGAATACGCACAAATCGTCCAAAAATAACGCATGCATATTTACTGAATGGAGAATTTCCGCCAATATGTATACATATTTCTCGTGACTTTTCGCTACATGTAGATATAAATGATAATCTTTTCAAATTAGCTGGCTTTTCTCTTATACGAAGTAAATAATGTAGGAATGATGCATAATTATTGTTTGTTTTTTTTTACAATATTACATATACGAGACTTTTAGATTACTTACATCAAATTGATTTTTAAGGTAATGTTATGGTACATTATGAGATATTTTGTTGATGAAATCAGAAATCTTTTTAAATGGTTGACATATTCTTTTTTAATTACCGTCAGATGGAAAGTTAAATACTAGTAGTTCCCTATGTTAAGGTTTACAACTTTGTGTCCATGTATTTTGCATGCAACAGATATAGATTACCCGCCGATAATGGCTGAAATCTTGGCGACTCGGCGTTAAGCAAAAATCAATCAATCAATGATCTGCATACTGCTTAAAATGATTTTCTATTAATTTTACATATTTATTTTTGTACATTATGGATAATAGAAATTTGATATAAAAATAAAACGAACGGGTTTTTATTGGGAAGGGGGGGGGTATAATGAAGGCAAAGTAGAATGTGGCTGCAGTAGAAACAGTTATAAGAAAAAATCCTAATAAAATGAGCCACTCTGAGACACAAGGCTACGTATCACACCATGCATGTTTGATTTCACGTTATCTTTATATACAAAACGATGTGATTTTTTTTTTTCAATTTAACTTAAGAATAATTATCGTAGCATGATTTTAGTTGTGATTTTATTGGCTGCATGGTTCATGTATTTTCTGTAAGAATCGAGGTATTTCTGAGATCGACCCCCTGTAAATTTGGACTCGATCGATTGGTTTCTTTTTCCTTTACATGGGGATTACGTAAAATCAAACAAAGTGTGTTAACCAACTTGCATGCTTTGAGGATACAGGCTTTATCAAACGTTAAATCAGCATACGTGTACGAGGGCTGTTCGGAAATTATTGAGACAATTACATTTACTCCATAAAGGACAGAGATAATTTCATGAAAATTCATCAACATCTTATGAAGAACGACTAAAACACTCATGCAAAATTTCTAATTCCTATGATAACTAAATAATTTTCGGCAAGGTAATAAATATGCATATGTCTATCGACCCGGAGCAGCATCGCTACGTCATTTTACGTTACGTTAGCCGTAGATTGTTTCGCATGTGAAATGATCGAGAAGCGTTTAATACTCTTCCTTCTTTGTTACAATGTATTACATAAAACATTACAAAAATTAAAGTCTCTTTTCTTAAACTATTCTTTAAAAATGTATGCTGTTGCTAAATCAGTGAAAATTTGTCATTTATGGTAAAGGATGAATCATGCAGTGCCATTTATGCAACGCCGGTTTAATACCGTAACGAAATCAATACTGTACGTAATAACCCATGGTCGTCCAGATCTTTTACTTTTACTCTGGTTAAATTAATTGTAAAAATAATATATGTATACCAACGAATGAAAAAACAATCCCTAACACATTATTTTTTCTCATTTTTATTGTTTTAGCAGGTCGTTCAATCTTGAAAAAGAGTTCTACATTGCGCTACACAAAATTTTAGGTATGCTGGCTGCTCCGCCCTTGACTTCCGCAGTTTTCTCTACCGCGCTTAATTTTTTCATGATCTCCGTATTTCTGATCAAATTTCTATCAAAGTTGCACAACATGAATTTGAAACAAAGCTGAAAATGATACACTTAAAACTAAATTATTTTCGCTCTCATTATGGAACCACGAAGATTTAGAATTTTGGTGTTACATTTTTTCAATATCTGATTCCGCGACTGCTCCGGGTACCCCTACTAATGAAACATTTATATACCATTGTAGAGAAAATATTTAATATTTGTAAAATATTTCTTGCTCTTATGAATTTTTAGTGTATGTCAAACGTATATGCAAATTTTCACCGAAAGACGTTCATTGGAAAGCAAAATATACACAATGTCTCAATAATTTTCGAACAGCCCTCGTAGATCTATATTTTGTTAATTGAAAGTTCAGTTGTTCATAGAGACGAATTTTTCGGTATGAAAGGCAGAAAAGTAGAAATCAAAAATCTTTTCTTTTTTTGGGGGGGGGGGTTATTCGGTTTTTAAAGGATCTAAAATACAGTTAACACAGTTTTGGGGATTGTAGATTATGATCAACTATTTTTGTCATTAATTAAGCATTTTGTTTAACTTAGACAGGATGACAACTTGGATTGCTAAGCGATGACAGGTGCCCCAACTTCAAACATCATGTAAACCATGACGTCACAATTGAATCGTGAAAAAACTACGATATGCTCAGAGTTAATTTTGCAGACATACCAATTTCAAAATGTAATAACTTTGTTATAAATGCAGATATTTTTATTCTGTTTTCAGTTTTTGTCGTGATTTTACATGGACCACCAAAATACACAAAAATCTCAAATTCGATAATTTTTTCCATAAGGTCGATTTCTATCCGACGAGGCTCAAATGTTACATTCGACTACACTTTTCATTTCTTTTCAATGAGAATCATATATAATAGGAAAAATTACTCAAGTTTTAGTCTCGTACAATTAAAGCTATGCAATATCAGAAATTGTCCTTTTAAACAAGGTGGTTGCCAGCACGTTTATGTAATCAAAGTCAAGTAAATGAAAAAAGCCTTTGTAAGAATAAGAAAAAAAACATTTCTAAAGAACTCATTGAATAAAATACAGGAAGTTTCAATCAACAAGTTGCCATGCCTGCAAAGAAAAGACCCATTGTTCGATCAAAAACTCAGCAGAAATTTCTTACAATAAATAATTGACATTACAAAAGATATAATTCTTAAGTCATGTTTGGTGCAGAATACAGGCTTTGCAAATATTTTATTGAGAGCGTAAAGTCTGTCTCGATACGAGGCAACAATGCAAATCTATTTTTTTCACATCTACTGCTTTTGTTTGTTTGTTTGTTGCTTAACTTTCCTCTCGAGATTTTGTCATTCATACCGAGACTGTAAAAAGCTCGATATTCACTTTCATCTCATTTATAACAAAGTACAAACCAAAACCAATCAACCTTTTTTTGAATCAATTCGTTCATTTGTTTCTAGCTCACTAGATATTGCACAAACAAGTCGACGTCGTATTTCCTATGATAAAAGCATTTATTCTACTCCAAATATTTGAATATTTTTACGTAACCAGTCCTTTCCTCTGTTATCCAAATTCTGTCTTCTTTGTCAACTTTTAAACCTCTTGGGCCAGAAATACCCTCCTTTGCTGTAAGCAAGTATTTTATAAGATTTCCATCAATGTCTAATAGATGAACCAAATTATTGGTATGGTCAGACACTGCAATATTTCCGATACTATCGGTATCTAGTTCAGCAGGTCTAAATTCTTCTTGGTCTTTATGAAATCCCCCACCCGCATAGGCAAATCGGAGGAGACCTGTTCTATTAACAACGGTTACAGAATGCCTTCTTGTATCTGAAACGCAAATATCTTGGTTTATATTTTCGGAAATACAAATAGGTCTGCAATACAAGTGTTTTTCTTCATCGTCTTTCATTATTTCCTGCAGTGTTACTCCATTGTAGCTCATTCGCAAAACCTTTCCACGATCACTAGCGTCTGTGGCTTGCCATGGTAGAAAAGCAGCGCACAAGAGAATGTGACCGCTTCGGCTGAGGCACAGTCCCATCGGATACCAGTCCAACCTTATTTCTGCTTCTTCTTGCAAATCTTTGGATAACCTTTTCACCATTTTATTATCTAAATCACTGAAAAATATGCTTTCGTCGTCTAACTCGACAAGACCCGAGGGCCGCCCTACTTTTGTGACAGTCTTGACAGTAGCCTTTTCATTACCTTGCATGTCTACTTTCTTTATTTTAGCTTCAATTCCACGAATCCAAATAAGGTCAGCGTTTAATCTAGAACAACCTAAACCAATTGGCTGCTTTATCGCAGATTTAAATCTTGCTACTTCTTTTGCTGACTTCATGATTTGTTTTCTACCCTGAACTACCATAGTAGAAGGAAGGTACAAGCCAAACAAATGTCATAATTCATCCGGAAATTGCTTTGTTACATCGAGCACAGAAGGTGTGAAATCAAATTTCAGAAACTTTTTATCATCACTTGAAACTTCGAGATTGTTCCTCGTGTATAAA